ATCAGAATACTGTCTTATGATGGAAAACTTCAGCAAATGAGATACAAATCATAATGCCATTGAGTCAGTAGAGTCCCAGTTAGAATATAAAAAATGTCAAAATAATGATGTTTACAATATGAATGGTATCCTTATTCTTTACTGCTCATAAATAATATATGCTGATACTCTAGAATTGCAGAAAAACAAATATATTTTATACAAATAAAGTGAATAACACATTATATAGTTTTGTCCTATTATTCTCTTACAAAGATATTTTAGCCTCTTACTTTGTCCTTTGATTGACCAAAACTGAAATGACATATCTCTCATGACATTTGCTTTGCTTCACTAAACTGCGATTCAAAACACTTTTTGTATTGAATGTTCAATAAATGTATAATTTATATCTTTAAAAATAATCACTTAACACACACAAGCAATTAATAAGTATCAGTAAATTAATATATTTGTTATGTTTGTATTGGTTTTCTCTTCAAATAAGTGTCAATACCTTATATTTTACGGTTTTTGTCTCATATAAAAATATTGTATTTGATTTAGTCTATAACATTCCATGCGAGGCCTTCATAATGCTTTTTGGGTATATTACTATAAAGGAAATCATTTTGTCATGGTAGCAATCTGTAAAGTTTACTATAACAATCACAGTTTTAACATCTATGGACTCCTGTAAGTCTCTTGGAATAACAGAATTTGATTTCCACTGTTAAATATTTAAATCAAATTATATATTTATTATACATGTGATTTTGTATGCTACATAGATGGAAGACAAGGCAAGTTATGATCTTTCAGGAAAAATTATTCCACTGAAGTTTTCCAATTCATAATTTAAATTGTATGCATTAGCCTAAAACTTCAAGTAATATCCCCTTTGACATCACAGGTTAGTCTGAGATAAGAAGAAGTAAATATGAGTTAATCAATGAATGTAATATGAAAATTCTGACATTTTATTTCAAAAGAGCAAAAGACAAATTCCAGTGACAATAATTCCACAGTTTTTCAATTAACTGATATTTTTTCCTTAACCTATTACCTCATAAATATGTTTAACATTTGTAACTATTTTAGTGAGGATGGTAAGGGAATGAAAGCAAATGTTAAATTTGTTTATGTTCTAAAACATATTTTTAAAATACATACTAATAGCATGGAATAATATGAAATTGTAAGATATATGCTAATAATTTTATAAACATCATATGACTCATTATTCACAAAAATAATATAGTGGTGGTATTACTAAAATCTTAAAAAATAAAATATAGGGATATTTCAGAGAAAGCATGGCACTGATTGATAATGCTAATCTATAAGCCATACTGTAATTGTGTAAAGGCAGAACTTTAATGAGCTTAAGGTTTCACACAATAAATAAGGAAAAATGGCAATATTACCAGAGTATGAATATTGTGCTAGCTGTAGTGTTTAGTACTCAAAGGAAGTGATCAGAACACTTGTAAGATATACTGTGATGTCTGTGCTGTGAATTAAACAAGGGCCCTATTTCTATCACTTAAAATTCTTTAATCCCTTCTTAATTTAAACCCTGTTTTTAAGTCATTACTGACATTGGTAATAAACTTACTTTCTCACAAGTTATTTAAACTTTCTCATGTTTCTTTAAATTTAGTATCAGAAGAGTCTCTTTCTTATGTTATCCCCAAACCATCACTGCCCTGGGAATCCTGGAAGATTAATGAATTTGAAAATGTTGATATGATTTGGTTATTTCTCAAGGCACACAACAGAGAAGAAGAGATAAAGAACACAGAAAAGAACAGAATAGAACTGGAAGAAAGGCAAGTGAAAACTAGGCTGATGTCATCTACACAAAGAAAAAAAAATGTAGAAAGAGGCAGGGAGTGGGAAGGGAGAATGACAGATGGTGAGCGAGTAAGCAGTGGAAATATAGAAATAACCAACAATGAACAGAATGAATAAGGATATTAACCAAAATATAGGAAAAGAAATTGAGAAGTGAATATTCTAGCCAATATTGGGAAGTCAAAAATGGAAAATGTTATGTGATAAATGTTACAAAGTAGAAGGAAATAGTAACAATTTTACAAAGCAAACAAGAGTTACATTTTATACAACTTTCTCTCCACTAGTTAAGTCCAATGAGAGTAAGATACCTATTGCACAGAGAAATTATTTAATCCACAACAGCAAAACTGCCTACCTTACAGAAATCTAAAGGGGAGTGGGCCATGTCTAAAATCTTCATATTTACACTTATGGTAATTAAAGCCAAATGTGAATGAAATTATTCATTTCACACATTTTGAGTTCATTTTTCAGTTCCTTTATTTTACTCTAGATAAGTAAACATATTTAACACCTCTTTTAGTTCACCAAACTGTGTATTAACTAGTAAAACTTGAGGGGAATTTAATGACCAACATAAATGCTCTCTTATTTAAATACTGAATATATCAATAATAATATAGTATATACTTCCTTATGAAAATTAAATGGTACTAGAAATTCCTAATGAAGCCAACAGATTAATATTCTCACTCTTCATTATGCAGTTACCAAAGCAGTGTTCCTGTACTTTTTAACTGCTTTATCTTGTGACGCCCCACAGTAATTATTTACATTTATAGTTATATTTTTATGCATATTTAACTTGATTGACAAAAAGACATTATTGTTTACTTTAAAATTAATTTAACAAAAAATAACTTGAAAATTGGAAAAGATTATCAAAATAAAGTGAACCTGATAATATTCTTCACAACATAAAAGCAGAAATAATGAGATGCACCAGTATATATACAGTGTCATTTTAAATTTGGTAACCTAAATAACGTCTTTGAATTTCCCAATGATTTTGTACTCTGTAGGAAATAGTCCTAGCTTTTGTGTAGCTTATAATTCAAAACAATTTATACTGCCATTATATGAAACTAAAATATCCATAACAACACCCTTTCCTATCTCTAGATTGTGATCCACACACTATCTTGCAGGTAGTCTCCATATTCAGAACAGAGCTGTGAATTCCAGTTAATTAAATGTGTTCTTTAAGATATCATTTCAGCTAATGTTTATTGATAATTTGAATGATAGTAATTCAAAAATATATTACTTACATATTTTATATATTTCTTCAATTATATCAATATGACAAAAATTAAGACTCAGATTTGAAAAGTATTACTAGAAATAGTTCAATTATAAAACACAAACTAACCAAATTTATTCTGGGGATCCAAAGTAGGGTGATGACTGTAGTTAACAATACCGTATTGTATATTTAAAATTTGCTAAGGGCAGCAGATTTTTAATGTTCTCATATCATCCTTCCCCCAATAAACACGTGTGACGTGATAAATGTGTTAAATAACCTTATTATGGTAATCATTTCACAATATATGCACATATCAAATCATATTGTACAACTTACTCTGTCACAATGTTATTTCTCAGTTATATCTCAATAAACCTGGGGAAAAAAATAAATAGAAGTTTCCTGGTGAGGGTAGTGAAGGGCCAGGAGAATTTTATAGGTTTCTCTGCTCCCAAGCTCTACCTTTTATTTCTTTAAAGATTTTATTTATTTGACAGAGAGAGAGACCGTGAGAGCAGGAACACAAGCAGGGGGAGTGGGAGAGGGAGAAGCAGGCTTCCCGCCGAGCAGGGAGCCCGATGAGGGGCTCGATCCAGGGTCCTGGGTTCATGACCCAAGCCGAAGGCAGAAGCTTAACGACTGAGCCACCCAGGCACCCCTGCCTTTTATTTCTAACATGATGGGCTGTTACCTTAAAATCTCTTTTGCTTCTCAAACATCATCTGTTCAGGAGTGTTTCTATAGCCACCACTGAGCTTCTAAAGTTCCTTCACCTGAAACTGCTATTGTAGCGGAGGGCTCCTGCTTCCTAACTGCTCCCTCCATTGTAGCAGATGCAGCTTTTTGGAGATTTGTCACTTTTGTGACACCTACTACCATCACATAACCTTCCTGCTTTGTCTATGTGTTTTCCCTAATGAAGCAGTCAAAATGGATCTCAGTCCTATTTGCAGCTTTTCCCACTCAAGAGTGAGTCCTTTCGTTCTCAGAGTAGGTATGTCCAGCAGATTTCTACCATTAGTAGACCTGCTCCACTTCCTCAGTCATTCTCTGCCAGGGGTGGGAGGGTGGGGTGGGGGGATGGGGTGGGGTGCTGTAACAGGGAGACTTCCCAGGTGTGTTCTCATATGGTCAATTGCTTTAGTCCACAGCTATATGTATTTGTGCTCTCTGTTTCATTGAAAAGTTTTTTGTTGTGATGGTCTCCTGGTTATTAGTTATGATTTCAAGCATGAAAAGTGAGAAGATGTGGACCTAGACTTCAAGTATGTTTTTTAGCATATTTTTATTTGCAAATGAATGATTTAATAACAATAACAAAAATAACAATATAGAGACAGTGGAAAGTAAGAAGTGAACATAAATGAAGAAGATTTAAGAGCAGTAAATGTGCTGAGTAGATGATTATAAGCTCAAATGAAGTAAAAATAGTATCACATAATTCAAGAAAATTTAGCACAATTTTATTCTACATCTGTTGATATCAGTTTTCACTTTTCTTTGATAAAAGGGGTCAGAAGTTTATATACCACAAAGTCAAATTATTATTGTGAGATTGTTTAATGTTGGTTGCCTTTATTAGAAAGTTAGTTTTAAAAAAAAACAGATGCTTTTCTTTTCCTCCCTTCCTTTTTCCCCTTTCTTTTTTCTTTCCTTTCTTTTTATTAAATAATATTTCTCCAGTGGTAACAGGTGTTGCTTTAATGAATAATACATAAATGAATGAAATTGTAAAGTGCAGTGTAACATCTCAAATTTGCAGGGTTCCAAGATAGACACTATGGTTCAGTCCTTGAAATATGTCTAATTATTCTTCACCTCAGGGTCTTGGAATATGCTATTCCTTTAGCCTGGAAGGTTTTCCCTCACACTGTACAGTGTAGACTGTACTTTTTCAGCCTTCAGGTCTTACCTTCAGTGACACCTCCCCATATACAGCTATTTTCTGACTCTCCTTTTCAAATACAAGTCTCAGGTTCCTTGTCAGTCCATTCAACATGTTATCTCCAGAGCCTACATCCACACATTACCAATCTGATTAGCAATAATTCCCCTTTGTGATTGCTGTTGGAAAACAAAGACTCAAAGTCACCAGAAGTGTAAAAGCAGAACAATAAGATTATGGATATATAGTATGGATTTATAGTTATTTTTGAGTGGCATATTGTAAATGGTAATATATTATCACTTTTGAAGTTGTTTAAACAAATTTGGTTAATATCGCTGACTGCTTTAATGTAAGTAGCATTTCTACTTTACTTTTTTGATTTCTTTTACTCTAGAAAGTACTTCATAATATACCCTCTGAGTTAAATTTTAGCCAAGTGTAAGTCACATGTTAGATTTATATATTTCATAAATTTAGTCTTTATTTTATACGTGATTTACTAAAGAAGTGCATGAGTAATGCCAGTAATATCATTAAATATGCAATATTTAATCAATGGAACACTTAAAAATAAAAGATAAATGCAAATCTGATGTTACATCCACAATTTATTTAGTAATTCATTCAGACTATGTAAATTTTTATGGAAAATAACCCTCAGAAAAGAAATAAAAAGCTGATTCAATGAGAAATATTTTCTTTATGCAATACTTTTTGAATTTTCATTATTATTTCAAATGATTTTAATACCAATTTAAAGAAAATACAATTTGGAAAATATATTGAAATCCATAATTGAAATAATAATTTATGGTCCTGACAGATGAAATCCAATGTACTGTACATGACCTAAAGCAGAACTATTACTAAACAGGTAGTTTATTATTAAAATATATGCACTAGAACATCAAAGCAACAGAATGCACTTGGGAGAACTAGATTAATTTTCAGAAAAAATTTGTTTTGGTTCTTGTTATTATTGTTCTTATGGATTTCTTTTCCTAAAGAACTACATTATTGAACATGTGGGGGAAAAATGTGAATAATAAATGAATGAATCCAAAGATAAAAATCCACACATATTAGTTCAAATGAAGAGCAATTTCAGTTTGTGTCCAAAAGACTTTAAATTCCATGACAAACTAAACAATATGCGTTTGGAAAAGAGAAAATAAGAAAACCCTCCAGGTGCAAGCATCCAGACATCCGGCCCTCTGTTCACATGCCTTACTCTCACCATCAATCACCTAGAAGCAGCTGGGTCACAATTCTAAATTTCCGAGAAGAAAATCCTATTGGTCCAGATAACTGAAATGGTTTGAGAAGCAAACTCTCTAAAAGAAAGCGTCTTGCTTAGGCTCAGGTCATGATCCCCAGGTCCTGGGATGGAGTCCTGCGTGAGGCTCCCTGCTTCTCCCCCTCCCTGCTTGTACTCTCTCTTTCTGTCAAAATAAAATAAAATTAAAAAAAAAAAAAGGTTGTCTTTTGACATTTAGACCATTCCATTATTTCTTCCAGGATTTGTTTTTGTGAATGGTATGAAATGACTCGGTTTTATTTTTTTCTCTATTAAAAAAAAATGTAATACTTTTGAACAGTCCACCTTTTACTCACCAATTTACAGTGAGTAAGTGTTCTGTTTCTGGGCTGTATTCCATTGGTCTGTTTATATATACATATACCAATGTCTTATTTCCTTAATTAAATGTAGATCATAATAAGGCTGTTATTTATCTGACAGGATATTTTTCCCTACAGAGTTATTTTTTCTCCTGAAAACTGTCTTTGTTATTACTAGAGCTTTTGCTTTTCCAAATAACTTTTTGAATAAGGTCGCAAAAATCCTTGAAAAATTAAGTCAGGATTTTAATAAGAATTGAGTATATTTGTGGGTGAATTTGGAGAAATTTATAAAATGGCATCTTGTTAAATACCACCATATGTATTTCTATGTGCATTTATTCATTTTCATTATACTTTAAAATCATTTTATAATTTTCTCCACAAATGTCCTATACATCTTTCATTACTCATCTTTGATATCCTATAGCTTTCTTACTGTTTTAAATGGTAATTTTTAAAATATGTTTTACTATTTATTGCTAGTATATGAAGTGTAATTGATTTTCTTTTTTAAAAGCTATATCTGGCAAATCTAATGAACTTTCTAATTCTAATCCACTTTGTGTCCCTTCAGTTTTTATGTTTACATTAATGTCAGCTGTGAATCCTGTTTTTTTTTTTTTTATTTTATTTTTCCCCACTATTTCTTTTTCTCTACTAAATATGCTGGCTAGGATTACAAGGGTGGGACCAACCTGGTATGTTGCTGGCTTAAATGTACGAGAAGCTTGTTTATTTATTTTTTCTTTATAAAGATTTTATTTATTTATTTATTTATTTATTTATTTATTTATTTATTTGAAAGGGAGAGAGTGAAAGAGAGAGCATGAGAGTGGGGAGGGGAAGAGGGAGAGGGAGAAGCAGACTCCCTGTTAAGCAGGGAGCGGACACAGGGCTTGATCCCAGAGTCCCAGGATCATGACCTGAGCTGAAGGTAGACTAACCAACTGAGCCACCAGGCACCCCAAGAAGCTTGTTTAAATGAGTGTTTCCCCCATACTACTTGGTTGTCTAGGTACCTGGAACATAGCTTTTCCTCTTAAACTCTTGAACGTGTTTGATCTCTCCTGGGGAAACCCTGGAGCTTACTGATCTTCAAAAGCCTAGAGGAGATCTTGCTTCTCTGAATGTTCTGCCAAAAATAATCAGTATTGACTATTTTTCAGGGACTTTTCTAATGCATTGTATCATGCATTAGATTCTGATCTTGGAACACACATCTTAACTATACAGATGTCCTGTTCTAATGTTTTGAACTCTGAGTTGTTGTTTTGTTTTTTTGTTTTGTTTTGTTTTGTTTTGTTTTTCTGGTTTACTTCTCTAGAGATTTTATTCAATTCCAACTACTTCTTAATAATTTTTTATAATTTCTTAAAATCTCTGCTCTATTAATGGTACTTTTCTTGTTTACAGTACTGTTATTATTCACTTTATTCTCATTTTAGAGCATCTTATGTGGGAGATGTAGTTTATAGCTTTTATTCTTCCATAGTGAGTTTGTTCTCAAAGTGTGTTTTTAAAATCACTCAAGTAGACTAATCAATCCATAAGATAGAAAAGACTATACTGACAGAGGGATAATTTGGCAGAAACACACAGTCTGAAATCCTCCAAGGACTGGGAGTACAAGTTGTCACCTGAAAAATATTTTAACAAATATGGAATTTGAGACTGAAAGATATTTTTATGTTTTCTTTGGATACTTAGTAGGTACCATAAACTTTTAAATTATTAATGATAATACCTTTATTGAGAAATTAGTAGATGCTCATTAGTACTTCCCTACGTATACCGAATGTGTTATTTTATTTAGTCCTCACAAAAACATTAAGATGCTGATACTCTGATTATTTCTATTTGTCAGATGACAAAAACGAAGCAAAAGAGACGTTCCTTACATAATTTGCCCAGAGCACATCATCTAGTTTAGCGTTCTCACTTTCCCACAGCAGCGGTATTCCAGAAAAGCTAGTACTGTATCCATGGACACACTGGCAAAAAAGCTCTCCTGACTTCTCAGGAGGCTTCACACAACCTCACCAAACCCTAAGATCATACACTATAGTCTCTGTCAAAATAAATCCCACTTTCCCCATCCTTCTTCCTTTGTTTTGCTGAATCTCAATTTCAGTTTTCTCCATGAAACACGTAACACTGTAGGTGGACAATGGTGATACATTCACTATTCTTTCACAAATGGGAATTCTCTATGCGTCCAACTTAAAGCCAATTTAAAGCCTGAATAGCACATGCAGTAGGTAATATCACTGCCTAGCGTTCTTTCTCTTCCATGAAATGAAGCAGACAGACTGTGACTAAGAGTTTCAAGTATTACAAAATAGAATGTTTTTGTTGTGAATTTCTTTGAAAAGGGGAGTTCCACCTAAGATTTTCTGAGGTTTGGCTTTAGTTTCACCTACGTAAGGTAAGACTTCCTGGTACCTGCATGCCACCCCTCTGATACCCAGCAATAACCTCTCATTATCACCACCATCACAAAACTGAATTATATCCATTTATTTTTATGCCTACCTTTCCCACTGAATTTATATTTTGAAAAAAAAATGATATTTATATTAAAACTCTGTTGCCTAGGACAACACTTAATATTCAGTAAATGTACAAGTTTGTTGATAGATTACATGTGTAAATTTATCTATTTTGGTAGATTCTTCATGTATTCATTTGCTTGTTTAACATTTACTAAGTAGCTATTACTTGAGAAAGCAAACTGCATGCTTGGAGGTAAAGATGAAATAGCTGGTTTAGAAAAGATGAATAAAACAAAAGAACTGTCCTCAGTGAACAAACTGTAGAAATAAACTAACCAAATGCAGAACACACAGTTATAAAGTACTCATTTAAATACATTTTTACATAAAACCTTCAGTTTTTAAGGCGGCATTACATTTGTAGAACCTTTAGGAAGTAGATGAATGTTTAAATACAATTTGCCTTTACATAAAAAAATATCTTTTAAGTTCTCTGCATTCTTAGTCCTTTATAACAAATAAACATGTTTCTATTTATATGAGCAAAGCATAAATAGTTTGGGGAGTTGATTTTATACTTAATTGTACTATAAGGGTAAGTGAACTTCAATGGTCCATTAAGATTGATGACATTCATCAGTGTGTTGCTGGAATGAATAGAGATTTGTATTTTTCTTAATAATAAAAAATTACTTAATTTCCAACAGACATAACAAAAGATTATGAAGTAGGACATGCACACATATACAGACACATAATTTTTATAACCCTCCTTGTTTATTCTTCTTCATGTCTCAATATGTAACCACTAACTCCATTCTTTCAGTAACATAAAGGAATCTGGGATGTATAAAATTAAGGAAATCATACATAAAGCCCAAATATTTTATAAAATAGACTCAATAAACTCGATTATTATATTTTATTGTTAATTTAACTTAAGGTAATATCTATTTATTAATTCCTCCAATTTACATCTCAGTGATAGATCTGAGAAACATTTTTTTGTCAGAAGTAATGTTTTCTACTCTCTTCTCTCTAACTAGTTGAATCATCTTGGCAAATCACTGAAATTCTGAATTGTTAAGTTTCCTAAAATAAAAAGGAAATTGCTATTACTTTTTCATTTCCTCACCAATATACTTCAAAGCAAGAAAGTACATTCAGAAGTATTATGAACATTTCCCACCATGTTAATTTTTATGTTAATTGTATTCCTGTTGAACAGTATCATGCAATCCAAAGGTTAAGGCCCTATTGAAAAGAGAGTTTAAAGGAGAGTTTGACTAAAGTTTGATCAAGGAAAGTGTCTTTGTCAAGGGGTGTTCTACTTTGGGGGAAGGAAGACAAGTTTTTACAGAGGCTTAGCCGCAAAAGTCCAGCTGGTTTCATGAATAGTTGGGCAAAAACAGTTCTCAGAAAAAGAGGGAATCTTTCTTGGTATTTAGCAGCTATGGGCTATCTGTGTTTAGCAAGAGGGCTGGAAAGGAAGAGTCGAGGTTAAGTTCATAGAAAGCTCATAATGGAAAATGTTTTCAGAGCATCTCATGTGGAACTTCCATTAATATAATAAAGTAAATAAAAAAATATATAGTGAAGTAAATAATCAGATTTTTCTTGGTAAACTCTAACGTGTTTATAAATTATTAGAAGATTAAGTGGTAACTACAAGGTTTGTAAAATAAAAGATGCATCTTGAATATGGATAGAGGATGAGCTTTATGGGGACAGTTATGTATGGGGAAGATTTGCACACACTCACACAAACAAGGGAATTCATGATGACTTATCCATCCTTGTGGAGGGACAAGTAGGAAAGTTGGGTGAAGTTGGACATTTGAAGAAAGAAATGAGAATCTAACCATTCAAAATAAATATCCTATAATCATTTCATTTTTTTAAATGTTAGTTTCAAAGTACATAATGCTATGCATTCACATTGTTCATGAAAGAGTTTTAAATCGTTTAAAGCTTTGTTTCTTTTATGGTTTAAAGCTTTAAATAGTTTTTCTTATTATGTCAAGTTGGCTATATCTATATACACTACTCAAGCTTTAAATCGTGTAATGTTGTACAATTGAATGAATATTTAAAACCAACCAGGCTTTAAAAATATTCAATCTTCCCTTTGTGTATCATAAGGGGCACTTAGGTAAGCACTATAGCAATTACTGATGGATAGAAAAAAAATCATCAAATTATATTTTTTCACTCATCAAGGTAAATGATTTAGATATCTGTCATTTAAAATCAATGTTCAGTACTCCAAAAACTAAAGAGGAAACTCTTTTGCATTTAAATGGCAAAGCAGTGACTCTCTTACATGACAACGATGCAGTAGAAAAGATCATTCTAAGTAGATTTGATATTAAAAGTAAATATACTCAAATACAGTAGTTGACTAGAAAATAGGTCTTTAAAATTAAAAGTGCCATGCAAACAACAAAATTCAGGATACCAAACTTTTCAGGGGGGCCAGGACTTATACTTTGATAGTGTTTTATTTCAAAAATTATCTAATATTTACAATCAGCAATGGTTCAGAGAGGTGATTCCAACAAATCATTTATATATTCTAAGTAGGAGATTCAGCTCCTCAATCACTGACCTCCAGACAATCTGACTGCACATACAGTTTTCTATCCTCTAGAACCACTTACTGTGTCATTTAATTTTGGTTTTGGTCTTTTAAATATTTATATGCCAGTCTCCTATTGATAAATGGTTAAATTAATTAAAGCCAATGAGAAATTATTCCAAGTTGATAATTTGAATACACTACTATTTATCTTTTTGGAAGCTGTTTCATTTAAATAATAATGAACAAAGAAAAAATATATTTATATATTTTATAGATATACAAAAGTACAAACTCAGTAGTGACACAAGTGAACGTAAAAAGCATATTTGTTTCTTATGATTTAGGATTTAGAAATAAGGAACAGAAAGCAAACGGGTGCTAAAGAAAACCACACAGACAAGATGAAAAGACAGACGGTGGATACGTTTCACCCCTACTGCGGATCCCTGTCTACATACCGCTCTATCAACTGAACGAGCCAATGTATTTATGGTTCTTAACACTGCTTCTTCTCATACGAGGCTCCCAGTAAATCTCCCTCTAGACACGATTTTCCCTTTGGCAGGATATAAAACAAAAGGTAATGCACACTTAAATAAATTAAATGCAATATGGGATGGCAAATAAATGGACTTGAAAAATGGCTTAAATAATTTAGATTAATATACATACCTGCTGTTTTCTCAGATGCATTTTTTATACAGCAGTTTTAGGTACTGCAGATAGAAGATTTGAACATAGCTAGGGGCACCTATTTAATGATTTCTGTTCAGTCCAGGGCTACTCTAAAAGAAATATGGTTCAGGAAATAGGAAATATCTGATAAAAAGACAGCTTAAAAAGGAAGCATGTGTTTTCAGTGCTTGAAAATCAAATTCCCTGAAATTCCAGTCTTGCATAGTTTTTAAGTGATATCATACATATGCTTGCCAAAAATTAGTCCAAAATATAAAATGTGTTCTAGTATCTTCTTCACTTGCAAATTTATCTGAAATGAGTCTTCTTTAGATCCTTAGGCAAAGGACATCCATTTAAATGTGGCATTATATTGTATATTTTTTTTAAAGATTTTTTTATTTATCTTAGAGAGAGAGAGAGAGAGAACAGGGGAAGGGGCAGAAGGAGAGAATATCCAAGCAGACTCCCACTGAGTGCAGAGCCGGATGTGGGGTTTGATTGCATGACCCTGAGATCATGACCTGAGTGGAAAGCAAGAGTCAGATGCTTAACTGACTAAGCCACCCAGGCACCCCTATTGTATACTTAACTTTATATATTAACTTTCTCCACTTAAAAAAAAAAAAAAAAACTACTTTAATGGTTTATTTTCAGACTAAATAAAATATATAACAATAGTACTAATATCTGTAATTAATTAAATGCTTATTGAACGTATGCCAGCCACCCCAAGTTATTGATTTTTTTTCATATTAATTTCTTGTATACCATAGCAATCAGAACTATCATCATTAACATTCCACCAATGGGAAAACTAACATATATGGAGGTGAAGTACATTGTTCTAGGTTACACAGTAAGAGGTATCCAAATTAAGATTTGAGTAGGACTATTTGAACTCATTGCTCTTACACTTTCCACAGATGTTTTTCAGCTAACATGTCAGATGTTAAATCATATATGCTGGACATAAATTTGATATTTAGACAAATTCACTCTCCTGGGCTTCCAGGCATCATCTGGGACTCTGAGTTGCAATCCTCTTAATACATCATGCCAATTCTCTATTGGGAAATGTCAGAAGATAAAATGATAGGACACCTTTTACACTCCAGCCAGCCTGTCATTTAATCTGCCCACACATACCACATGAGGCTTTGTTTACTTTAAAAATATCTTTATTGAAAACTCGGGATAATTTCAGACGGGAAAGATAATTTTTTCACTAATTTGTACTTTTCCATGTGTCCCAGGAGGAGTAGGTACTGAAACACCTGACACTCAAGGTATTTGTTTTGTTTCATTTTTTATATGGTTTCTATGTACTTGAAGTTTAAGAAACAAAGTCCTGAATGATGATATGTGACTATTTAACAGTCCAGTTCAGTGACGGTAATGGGAACTTTGCCTTTCTATACCTAGAATTGTGAGTAAAAATAGGTATGCCCTAAAATCTCCCATCAGGTACCCTAGGGTAAGTACAAATAAGAGAAAGGGGGGAACTTCCCAAAACTAGGTGGCTTCTGTGATGCATTTCTGGGGAACTCTGAACACCGCAATTCAGCAGCAGAGAGTAGATTTGCTTTTTTGAAAGCTTTTCAGCAGCAGTGGTGCCCAGGACTCAAGAGTTGTATGAGAAGACTTTGAATAATGTAAACAATTTTAATTAAAATGTGTTTAAATATATAAAACCATAAATATGAATATACATAGCTTTATACATTTATATAATGAAACATATTTATAAATGTAAAACAAGGAAAACCATAAAGTCAATGACATTCAAATTTGCAATAACGTAACAATATTATCTTACTCACTTCAACATGTCTGTTGGCACCCTGTATCATGTGTCATTGAAGTCTTCCAACTTTTCTCTTTATTTGAATTACTATGAACTCTTTGTATGCCTCAGCAAGGCTTTTCTTTATGAGTCTACTTCTGCACTTTCTCATCAGTCCATACCCATTTACATTGTGCTACTATAATGCTCTAAAAAATATATAAATTCAGGCTCTGAAGTAGCATGTATGTATTTACAAGGTTTCTTCTGGATGATCCAGAATGTACTTATATATGTTTAAATTATAATAAAAATGAAAACTTAAAATGAAACTATTCTCATAGGAAACTTCTAAAATCCCTGTTTAGAGAACAATGATAGAGAACACATTCCCCTGTTGAGATTCTTCTTCATAACAGAGAATTAGCTTCTTAACTTTTTAAAAATTTGGACATATATTTTCTGTAAATTTTATAATGCAAACAGGGTACTCTGGCAAACAGAGTATTTTCAGACACCAAATATTAAGTAACCTTTCAGTAGAAAATAATTATTAATTTCAAAAGCAATTCTCATATATGCATTCTCCAAAGTATTTGGTGTTAACTGTATCATAATGCCTTCTATACTTTGTTACTATTATCTCTTGGCTTAGTCATATCTCTAATACCAAAATGTGTATTCTTCAAGGGCAGACACCATCAGTGTGAAATAATACCTAGGTTAATATCTGACACAAAGCTGACACTAATTAAATATTTGTTGAATAGTTAGTAGATAAGCTATTTGAAACAATACACATCAAAATCCTAATTGTAGAAGGGCTTAACATAAATTTTCTCTTCTTTTTAAATAAACATCTGATTTTAAATCTGTCTGCATTATAATCTCCTTTGCTCTGTAGTTGGTAAATTCCAACATAATAAATCCTCAGTTACCTATTCCATCTCTTAGTGGGTTTATTATTTTTTTAAAAGATTTTTATTTATTCATTTGAGAGAGAGAGAGAGAGAGCACAAGCAGGGGGAAGGACAGAGGGAGAGGGAGAAGCAGACTCGCCACTGAGCAGGACCCTGGGATCATGACCTGAGCCGAAGGTAGCTGCTTAACCAACTGAGCCATGCAGGCACCCCTCTTAGTGGGTTTAAAGAAATTAATATATAATAGTGGAAGGTTACTACTGCCATATGTTTCCCTTTGAGCATTCTAGGCACTTCTTATTTTTCTCCATTAGCAGTGCCGGGAAAGGCACCAATAAGTATTGAGCACAATTATTTAAACCTATCTGAAAGAGCACAAGTAGGACCCTCCCAAATGTCTTTTTTTTTTTTTTAAGATTTTATTTATTTATTTATTTAGAGTGCAAGTGGGGGGAGGGGCAGAGAGAGAGTGAGAGAGAGAGAGAAAATCTCAAACAGACTCCAAGCTGAGCATGAGCCAGACACAGAGCTTGATCCCATGACCCTGAGATCATGACCCGAACCAAAATCAAGAGTCGGACACTTAACCAATTGAGCCACCCAGGTGCCCCCCCAAATGTTGTCTCTTTAATGTCAATGTATTTTCTGCTCTCAGACATTTTATCCTTTATGAGTGTTCCCTGTAATGCCTATGAGGTATAAGAAATTTACCTAATTATTTTTTTCTTAAATATTAAACTTGAGAAAACATTTAAAACATCTAATTCTTTGTTAGGTCCCTAAAATGCCTTCTTAAGCACTTTAGATGAGCTGCCTTATGTTAAATAACTTAAAAATGTCTCTGGGGGTTCCAGAGTTCTCAAATAGTATATTAACCCATTCTTTAAAGGTTGGACAGAGGAGAGATGCTCTACATTTACATGGATTCCTTTAATATTATTTAATAAAGGCTTGCAGTTTTGTTTATGTAGTTAAAACATATATATGCACACACACACACACACACAGACACCTTCCTATGAAATACAGCTTTAAATTATATCTTATTTCTTTGATACTTTAAAATACAATCCATCTAAAGATTAAAAGTAATTTAAGAGCTGTGATAGTTGTGATAGTTTTCTGAAACTTGTGATAGTTTTCTGTATTCACCTCAGAAAAGAAACATTTACACCCCCTCTATGTTTAAGAAAAATGGTCTCACAGAGATAAGTGGCATCTCCCATGTTAGCAGTTTATTAAAGTTCAAATGAAAAGAAGGATTTCCATTTTCAAGGAAAGCAAGAAAAATATGAAAGAAATGCATAGTACTCTAGCACTTAGACTAAGTTTGTAGGGAATTAAACATGAGAAATTCTGGTTTTAAATGTTGGTTAGCACACATTTAACTACTCACATATACTAATCTACATATAATTTGCAAGGTAACAACTTAATAAAAGGGTTAATATCTGAGAAAATACCTTTCTATTAATTGAGCCCCAAATTGTCTTGTGTAATTATTATGGCATTTTTCCAACAATTCATACCAACACAAAAATTGAGTCATATGTTATCCAGAAATGTAAAATGATCCATTCAAGTTTCTTAAACTATGAAGTCCCGGAAATAAGTAAAATCTATGAACAGTCCGTATGTTGATAGTCTAGGGCTGCTCTACTGTAGTATCATGAATGGATGGCTTAATACAACAAAGATTTCTTGTCTCACAATTATAGAGCCTACACGTCCAAAATCAAAATGTCTGCAAGATGGGTTCATTCTGCAAGTTCTAGGGGACAATCTATTTCATGCCTGTCTCCTAGCTTCTGGGAACAGCTAGCTGTCCGTAGTACTCCCTGACCTGTTGTATATGCAATTTCTGATGGCAGCTTCCTCTGTTTACAGATGCCTTGCTATAATCTCTGCCTCAGTCTTTACTTGACATTCTCCATGCACATTGCTATCTCCAGATTTCCCTCTTAGAGTGATGCCAGTCATACTGGATTAGGGCCAACCCTAATAACTTCATTTTAACTTGATAGCATTTGCAAAGGTTTCCTAAATAAGATAATCTTCATAGGTACTAAGGGTTAGAGGCATAAAACATCTGTTTTGGGAGGAGTACATTAAAATTATAATATGATCAAAAATAGTATGTGTTCAATGTTAATTCTTCTCAGTTTACCAATTTAGCTTCCTCTCTCCAAGCAAAGGCAAGAAAATATCACCCTTTCTAAGCTACTACCCTACATTGGAGAATTTTCACAGGGTTCTAGATATGTAGAAAAAAGTCCCCTTTATTTTGCAATAATGATATATACTACTATACATAGTAAATACAGCAAAAACAAAAGAAGGCATTTTAGTTACTAGGTTTCTACTTTTTTATTCTCTCTCTCTCTCTTTTTAACTTTATTACCACACACTACAGAGCACTCTGGAAGAACAG